TTAATTGGGAATGAAACAATAAATTTCTTTGATGCATTGATTATATCAGAAGTTTATCATTTTTCATTAATTGAAGATTGGTGTGAAATTGTTTTTAAGCAATTTATTGAGCAAAAGAATATTAATTTTTTGGATATGTTTTTTTTCTATTTTGATCCTCAACCTAAATTTTTCTCTAATTTTATGAATATTTATATTGGAAGTCAAAAAAATAATTCTATTGAAAATCAAATGAAAAGTTTTATTTTAATGATTCCTGATAAGATTTTACAATTTGAAATTGGATCACAATTAAAATTTGACAAAGTAGTTTATCAATTAAAATTAATTATTCCTGATATTTTTAACATTAAGAAATTTTAAAAAACAAAACAAGAAAAAAAAAAGGGAAAAAAATTTTTTTTAGTTCTTTTTCTCTTTAAAAAAATTTTTTTCATTTTTTTTTCATTTTTTTCATTTTTACTTTTTCTTTTAAAAAAATAAAATGAAAAAGTTAATTTTTGCATTTTTTTGTTTAATTCTAATTTTTCAATGTTTATCTCAATTAGAAACAAATAAAAATAATAAAAATAAAGAAAATAAAAATGAAAATGAAATGAAAATTAATCCATTAAAAAAAAGTTATAAATGGGAAGAAATTGCAGAATTAATAGCAAATGATGGGAAATCAAACGATTATTTTGGATATTGTCCTAAAATTTTACAAAACATAATTGTTGTTGGTTCAGCATATTCAACAATTGGGGAAAATGAGTATCAAGGAAAGGCATATATTTTCCGAAACAACGGAACAAATTGGAATCAAGAGGCAGAATTAATAGCGAGTGATGGGAAATCAAACGATTATTTTGGATATAGTGTTTCAATAGCTTCAAGTGATATAATTGTTATTGGTGCTTATAAATCAAAAATAGGAAATAATATATCGCAAGGAAAGGTTTATATTTTTCGAAACGACGGAGAAAATTGGAATGAGGATCAAATATTAATAGCGAGTGATGGGAAATCAAACGATTATTTTGGATATAGTGTTTCAATAGCTTCAACCAATACAATTGCGATTGGCGCTCCTTATGCTGAAATTGGTAATCATATGAATCAGGGGAAGGTTTATGTGTTCCAGAATAACGGAACAAATTGGAATGAGTATGGAATATTGATATCAAGTGATGGAGCTAAATCTGACAATTTTGGATATAGTGTTTCAGTTTCTTCGATTGATGTAATTGTTATTGGTGCTCCTAATGCGATGGTTGGGAGTAATTCCTATCAGGGGAAGGTTTATATGTTCCAGAATAACGGAACAACTTGGGATGAGGAGGAAATAATAATAGCAAGCGATGGAGCTTCTTATGATAATTTTGGATATAGTGTTGCAACTTCACAGACAGAATATTTTGCAGTTGGAGCGCCTTATGCAGAAGTTGGAGCGAATTTTGAGCAAGGAAAAGCGTATGTTTTCCAGAATAACGGGACAACTTGGAATGAAGATACGATATTAGTGGGAAATGAAGGAGCAAGTGGTGATCTTTTTGGATACAATCTTGGTTTTTCAGGAAATTAATAATTTCAAGTGCATGGGGAGCCAATTCAAAGCAAGGGAAAGCATATGTTTTCCGAAGAACTCAAGATATTTGGAATCAAGACTCAATATTGTTTGCTAGCGATGGAGAAGCTTATGATAGATTTGGATATTGTGTGAGTATTTCGGGAGAATACTCAGTTTCAGGTGCTCCTTATGCCGAAGTTGGGAATAACACTCAACAAGGCAAGGCATATGTTTTTGAAGCCTTTGAGGTTCCAGATCCAGTTCAACTTATAAATTGCACTTCTTTGTTTTCCAAGTTTGGGTGTTTTTGGTATGAAGTGGAAAGTTTAGTTGATCTTCAATATCAAATCATTTATAATTTTACTTGGAATTTAGTTCAATATCCGATTTTGAATGGAGATGTTTACTACCAAGAGTTTAACTCCTCGTTTTATCCCGATATCACTGGAAACCAAGACTACCAAATCCAAATCAAGGCATGCAATATTAGTTCTTCTTTATGCGGACAAGCATCAAACCAATGGAATTTAACAACAAGAATTGATTCAGTGAAAAATTTTAGTTTGTCTTCTTCCTCAGGCGAAAGCATCCAAATTTCGTGGATGTTTCCTGATGTTCCAGTTATTGATTCCGTTCCCAAACTTTCCAATTACATAATTTCCTATAAACAAAAGTCAGAAATTGAGCCAATAAACATCACAGTCTCAAAGTTATCAACTTCATATATTCTGCATAATTTGCAGTCTCTCACCAATTATTTTGTTGCCATTTGGCCTTGCCGCACAGGTGATTGTCAAGGAGAAGATCAGGGAGAAATTGTGTCATCATCAATTTCCACTCCTTTTGGACCTGTTCTTTATGCATCGTGTTCTGTTTCGAATATTTACAATGTTTTTTGTTCTTGGACTCGGCCAAATGCATCAATTTCTCCAATTTATTACAATTTCACTTACAAATCATCAATAGTAAATGATTCGGGAAGTTTCAAGCCTCAATCCGCTTCACAATCATTTGAAGTCAAGTTCTCAAATATCGATTATTTCATCAACATTTCTGCATGTGATATCAACGACAAATGCGGAACAGTGACAACGATACCTATTACTTCTGGCCAGTTATCAGCACCAACAATTGATGAATCGATTGGAAAAATTGAATCAATTGAATTGAGTTTCACAAAAGTGGAATATTCTCAAGGATATATTGTTTCAAGTGATAATGGAGAAAGCTGGAATAATTTCAGTTCCCTTGATCTGAATGGAACCAATGCTATTGGGATTGAATCAAATTTGGCAGGAAATGTCGAATATCAAGTTTGCGTCAAAGCTTGTTCAGAACCTACTTGCAATCCTCTTTTTGCGGGAGCGACTAGCTCAACAATATCAATTATTCCCAAGTTAGGAAACATCACTTCTTTGAGGTGTTTTGCTAAAGTTTGTGGGTTTGAATGCAGTTGGGATCCACTTATTTTATCCGAAGGTTTAAAGGGTTATTCATTCAATTACAATTCAACTTTGATTTGTTTATCGAACATAAACACAAGTCAATCAATCACCAATTTAAGTTGTGGATCCATGTATGAAATTTCAGTTTTTTCTTCTGCAGGTGAAAATTGCAGTTTCAGTAATTATTCTGGGGTATCTTCAACAGCAATAATCACAACTCTTACCAATCACAAATCGAGTTCATCTTCTCATAAAAAAACTATTGTCATTGCTATTGTTGTTCCAGTTGCTGTTATTGTGATTTCTATTATTATTATTGCTGTTGTTTTAATTAAAAGAAGAATATCCATTAAAAAGAAAATTAGTTCAGTGATTAATAGTTCTGATGAGAACGAGAAACAAAATTTATTAAATGATTCAAAAATCAATTAAAAATTTAAACAAAATTTATGAAACAATTTAACAAAATTTATAAAACAATTTATAAAACAAATTTATCAACAAATTTATAAAATAATTTATGAAATAATTTAACAAAACTTATGAAACAATTTAACAAAACTTATGAAACAATTTATAAAACAATTATAAAACAATTTCTAAAACAATTTATAAAACAATTCATAAAACAATTTATAAAACAATTTATAAAACAATTTATAAAACAATTTATAAAACAATTTAACAAAATAATTTATAAACAAAATTTATAAAACAATTTATAAACAAAATAATTTATAAAACAATTTATGAAAACAATTTATAAAACAATTTATGAAAACAATTTATAAAACAATTTATAAAATAATTTATAAAATAATTTATAAAACAATTTATCAACAATTTATCAAAACAATTTATGAAACTATTTATAAAAACAATTTATAAAACAATTTATAAAACAATTTATGAAACAATTTAACAAAACTTATGAAACAATTTATGAAACAATTTATAAAAACAATTTATAAAAATAATTTATAAAACAATTTATAAAACAATTTATAAAATAATTTATAAAATAATTTATAAAATAATTTATAAAACAATTTATAAAACAATTTATAAAACAATTTATAAAACAATTTATAAAACAATTAACAAAATTTATAAAACAATTTATAAAATAATTTATAAAATAATTTAAACAATTTATAAAACAATTTATAAAACAATTTATAAAACAATTTATAAAACAATTTATAAAACAATTTATAAAACAATTTATAAAACAATTTATCAACAATTTATAAAATAATTTATAAAACAATTTAACAAAACTTATAAAACAATTTATAAAACAATTTATCAACAAATTTATAAAATAATTTATCAAAACAATTTAACAAAAATTATGAAACAATTTATAAAACAATTTATAAAACAATTTATGAAACAATTTATAAAACAATTTATAAAACAATTTATAAAACAATTTATAAAACAATTTATCAACAATTTATCAAAACAATTTATAAAACAATTTATAAAATAATTTAAACAAATTTATAAAATAATTTATAAAACAATTTATAAAACAATTTATAAAACAATTTATAAAATAATTTATAAAACAATTTATAAAACAATTTAAACAAAATTTATAAAACAATTTATAAAATAATTTATAAAATAATTTATAAAATAATTTATAAAATAATTTATAAAATAATTTATAAAATAATTTATAAAATAATTTATAAAATAATTTATAAAATAATTTATAAAATAATTTATAAAATAATTTATAAAATAATTTATAAAACAATTTATGAAACAATTTAACAAAACTTATGAAACAATTTATAAAACAATTTAACAAAATAATTTATAAAATAATTTATAAAAACAATTTATAAAACAATTTATAAAACAATTTATAAAACAATTTATGAAATAATTTATAAAACAATTTATAAAATAATTTATAAAACAATTTAAAACAAAATTTAAACAAAATTTATAAAACAATTTAAACAAAAAGATTATTAAAAAATGAATTTTTTTGAAGATGATTGGATTCGAACCAATGACTTTTAGATTCAGAGTCTAACGCTCTACCTCTGAGCTACATCCTCTTTTTTTTTTTGAAAAAAATTCTTTTAATTCTTTTAATTCATTTTTTCATTTTTTTCATTTTCATTTTTTTCCTTTTTCTTTCCTTAACAATATAACGATAATAAATTTTCAATCTCATTTCAAAAATTAAAATCTATTTTTTAAAAAAAAATTTGAATTTAATTTAAATATATTTTGTTTTGAAGATGATTGGATTCGAACCAACGACCCTTAACTCGACAGGCTAATACTCTACCTTTGAGCTACATCTTCTTTTTATATTAATTAATTAATTTATTTATTTAAAAAAAATTTTGAATTAACGATATTATTTATAACTTCAAATTCAAATTCAAAATTGGATTAAAAATTGGATTAAAAATAATTTGAATGATTCTAATATTATTTTATCAATTTATCAAATTTATCAAAAAAAATATTTTCTTTTGAAGATGGTTGGATTCGAACCAACGACCTCTGGATTATGAGTCCAGCACTCTACCTTTGAGCTACATCCTCTTTTATTAATATTAATCAATATTAATTTATTTATTCAAAAAAAATTTTGAAATAACAGGATTATTTATAACTTCAACAAAATTATTTAATTTAATAAATTCAATTCAAAATTAAATTCAAAATTAAATTCAAAATTAAATTCAAAATTAAATTCAAAATTAAATTCAAAATTAAATTCAAAATTAAATTCAATATCAAATTCAAATTCAATATCAAATTCAAATTCAAATTCAAATTCAAATTCAAATTCAAAATCCACAATAAAATTGAATATTGAAATTGAAATAAAAATTGAATTAAAAATTGAAATAAAAATTGAATATTGAAATTGAAATAAAAATTGAATATTAAAATTGAAATAAAAATTGGATACAAAACTAGATAAAAATGAAATAAAAATTGGATATTAAAAAAAACCAAAAAATTGGATTAGAAATAATTTGAATGATTTCAATATTAATTTATCAATTTTATCAAAAAAAGAATAATTGAAGATGATTGGATTCGAACCAACAACCTTTAATTTGAGAAGTTATAACACTCTACCTTTGGGCTACATCTTCTTTTATTAATATTAATCAATATTAATTTATTTATTCAAAAAAAATTTTGAAATAATAGGATTATTTATAACTTCAACAAAATTATTTAATTTAATAAATTCAAATTCAAATTCAAAATTCACAATAAAATTAAAAATTGGATTAAAAATTGGATTAAAAATTGGATTAAAAATTGGATTAAAAATTGGATTAAAAATTGGATTAAAAATTGAATTAAAAATTGAAATAAAAATTGGATACAAAACCAGATAAAAATGAAATATAAATTGGATATTAAAAAAACCAAAAAAATTAAATTAAAAATAATTTGAATGATTTCAATATTATTTTATCAATTTATAAATTTTATCAAAAAATATATATTTCTTTTGAAGATGATTGGATTCGAACCAACAACCTTTAATTTGAGAAGTTATAACACTCTACCTTTGAGCTACATCTTCTTTTATTAATATTAATCAATATTAATTTATTTATTCAAAAAAAATTTTGAAATAACAGGATTATTTATAACTTCAACAAAATTATTTAATTTAAAAAATTAAATTCAAAATTAAATTCAAAATTAAATTCAAAATTAAATTCAAAATTAAATTCAAATTTAAATTCAAATTCAAAATCCACAATAAAATTCAAATTCAAATTCCACAATAAAATTGAATATTGAAATTGAAATAAAAATTGAATATTGAAATTGGAATAAAAATTGGAATAAAAATTGGATACAAAACTAGATAAAAATGAAATATAAATTGGATATTAAAAAAAACCAAAAAATTAAATTAAAAATGATTTGAATGATTTCAATATTATTTTATCAATTTATAAATTTTATCAAAAAATATATATTTCTTTTGAAGATGATTGGATTCGAACCAACAACTTTTAGATTATGAGTCCAGCACTCTACCTCTGAGCTACATCTTCTTTTATTAATCAATTAATCAATATTAATTTATTTATTCAAAAAAAATTTTGAAATAACAGGATTATTTATAACTTCAACAAAATTATTTAATTTAATAAATTAAATTCAAATTCAAATTCAATTCAAATTCAAAATCCACAATAAAATTGAATATTAAAATTGAAATAAAAATTGAATTAAAAATTGAATATTAAAATTGAAATAAAAATTGAATTAAAAATTGGATTAAAAATTGGATTAAAAATTGGATTAAAAATTGGATTAAAAATTGAATTAAAAATTGGATTAAAAATTGGATTAAAAATTGGATACAAAACTAGATAAAATTGAAATAAAAATTGGATATTAAAAAAAACCAAAAAATTAAATTAAAAATAATTTGAATGATTTCAATATTATTTTATCAATTTATAAATTTATCAAAAAATATATATTTCTTTTGAAGATGATTGGATTCGAACCAACAACCTTTAATTTGAGAAGTTATAACACTCTACCTTTGAGCTACATCTTCTTTTATTAATTTTAATCAATATTAATTTATTTATTCAAAAAAAATTTTGAAATAACAGGATTATTTATAACTTCAACAAAATTATTTAATTTAATAAATTCAAATTCAAATTCAAATTCAAATTCAAAATCCACAATAAAATTGGATTAAAAATTGGATTAAAAATTGAATTAAAAATTGGATTAAAAATTGAATTAAAAATTGGATTAAAAATTGGATTAAAAATTGGATACAAAACTAGATAAAAATGAAATATAAATTGGATATTAAAAAAAACCAAAAAATTGGATTAGAAATAATTTGAATGATTTCAATATTATTTTATCAATTTTATCAAAAAAAGAATAATTGAAGATGATTGGATTCGAACCAACGACCTATAACCCGATGTGCTAACGCTCTCCCCTCTGAGCTACATCTTCTTTTATTAATATTAATCAATATTAATTTATTTATCAAAAAAAAATTTAAATTAAAAGGATTATTTATAAATTAAATATAAATTAAAATATAAATTAAATTCAAAATTAAAATATAAATTAAAATATAAATAAAATATAAATTAAATATAAATTAAAATCGGATAAAAATTAAAATAAAAATTAAAATATAAATTAAAATATAAAATAAAATATAAATTAAATATAAATTAATTATAAATTAAATATAAATTAAAATATAAATTAAATATAAATTAAAATATAAATTAAATATAAATTAAAATATAAAATAAAATATAAATTAAAATATAAATTAAAATCGGATAAAAATTAAAATAAAAATTTAATAAAAAAAAGGAAAAAAAATTTAAATAAAAAAGGAAAAAAACAATTTTTCAATTTTTCATTTTTTTCATTTTTTTGCATTTTTTTTTAAATGGAAGGATTTCATTTGAAATGTTTTTGGTGTGAACAATATACACCTAAACCTTTTTTAATTAATTGTCAATGTGGAGCAGTTTATTGTTTTAGTTGTTTTTATTATAAAGTATTAGGAAATCTAGAAGGAAAATGTTTTAATTGTAAAAAATTGATACCAATAGAAAATTACACAAACGAAACAGGACTTGAAAATATGAAGATATCAACAGAAAAAATAAAATCAAATGAAGATGAAATGAAAGTAGTAGAAGCTCTTATACAAGCACAAGAAAAAGGAAGACAAAAAATGGCTTGTCCTTATTTGGAATTTGATGGTATTTGTAAACTTAAGGATCATATCGAGCATAGATTTGAACCCCAAATGTTAAGGCTTCATAAACCTGAAATTGTTGTTTGTCCAAATTTATTTAAACCTTGTGATAATCCAATTTGTCCTTATCAACATCCAAATTTAAAAGAGATTCAAAATGTTATTCAAAAAGATACAAGAAAAATAAAATTAGACAAAGTTTGTGATTAGATTTTAATATTAATATTAATTTTAATTTTAATTTTAATTTTAATTTTAATTTTAATTTTAATTTTAATTTTAATTTATTGATTTTAATTTTAATTTTAATTTCTTAGTTTGTCTTAATTATTTTTATCAAGGTCGAATGTCCTAATTATGGTTGTCCTTTTGAACATAAAAGATAATCTTCTTCTTTTTTTCTTCATAATTTTCTTTTGTTACAAAAAAAAATTATAATAATATTAATGGAAAAATTTCCAATAATATTTGAAGATGACTGGATTCGAACCAATAACCTTTAGATCTGGAGTCTAACGCTCTCCCTTTGAGCTACATCCTCTTTTATTAATATCAATTAATCAATTAATTAATTTATCAAAAAAATTTTATTTTCTTATTTTTTTAAATAAAACTCTTTTAAATCATTTTTTGGATTTTATTTTAATTTTAATTATTAAATTTGTTAATTAATAAATTTATTAATTAATAAATCAAATAAATTTGGATTTGTTTGATTTAATTGAAAATAATCAATTCCTATTTGAATTTCATCAATAATTTCTTTTGTAATTTCAATTTCTTCTTTAATTTGATTTGAATAAATCCAATATTCAAATATTTGAAATGATTTATTACTTAATTCACTTATTAAAAGTATCATCTGTTACAGATAAAAACATTCCTCGATATAATTCACTTCTCATTATTAATATTAATTTAGGAAATTTATATTGTTTTTCTTTTCTTTCAATTATAAAATCTTTTCATTAATTTATTTCAAAAATGAAATAAAGAATATTAAATAATTAAATTTAAAATTAATTATATTTTATATATTTTATTAATATTTCTTTATTTAAAATAATATAAAATTATTCCCAATAATTTAATAAAATTAATAAAATCTTTTAATTAATTTATTTCAAAAATGGAATAAGGAATATTAAATAATTAAATTTAAAATTAATTCTATTTTATATATTTTATTAATATTTCTTTATTTAAAATAATATAAAATTATTCCCAATAATTTAATAAAATTAATAAAATGTCTTAATTAATTTATTTCAAAAATGGAATAAAGAATATTAAATAATTACATTTAAAAAAATTAATTTTTTATATATTTTTAATAATTTAAAATGTTTTTATTCCCAATAATTTAATAAAATTAATAAAATGTTTTAATTAAATTATTTCAAAAATGGAATAAAGAATATTAAATAACTAAATTTAAAATTAATTATATTTTATATATTTTATTAATATTTCTTTATTTAAAATAATATAAAATTATTCTCAATAATTTAATAAAATTGAGAAAGAAAATTGAAATATTTTAATAAATATAAATATTTAATTTTAATAATATTTAATAATAATTTGATTTAAATTGATTTTATTTTGATTTAAAATAATATTTTTATTTATTATATTAATATTTTTAATTATTTATTATTCCAATTTTAATTATAATAAAATATATTAAAAAGTGGAATAAATATTTTAATAAAGATAAATAATTAATTTTAATAATATTTAATAATAATTTGATTTAAATTGATTTTATTTTGATTTTAATATAATATTTTTATTTATTATATTAATATTTTTAATTATTTATTATTCTAATTTTAATTATAATAAAATATATTAAAAATAAAATTAAAAAATTAAAAAATTTTAAATAAATTGAATTTAACATGATTGAATAAGATAAACTTTCTAAAAAAATAATTTACTAATTATTCTATTTTTGATTTTTGATTATAATTTATTAAATATTTAAATATTAATTAATAATAAATTTTATTTGATTTTTTTTATTTTAATATTTTAATTAATGAATTTAAATTTAATTATTATTAATTTCTATTTTTCAATTTTTATTTTTATTTATTATATTAAAAATATTCAATTTTTAAAATTTATTATTTTTTTTTGGATTATTTTTTATTAATTAAATTTTTAATAAATATTTTAAATTAAAATTAAATTATTTAAAATTAAATTTGTTTTTTATTTATTATTTTAAAGAAATTAATTTGATTAAAAGTAAATTAAAATTGAATTAAATTTTGAAAAAAAAAATTAAAAAAAAAAAGTTTGATTTTCTTATTATTAATTAATTTTTAAATGAAATAAGTTTCAAGTTCATCAACAATCCATTTATTATAAGAACCAGCTAAATAATTTTTAGCTTCATTTGATTGATGAGTTATTCCATTAGGTAGATTATAACTAAAACCAAAATTTGAATAACCAGGTTGTAAATTAGAATTTAAATAAAAATCATTTCCACCACCAAATAATGGACCATACCTTAAACTAGAACAAATTGCACGACCTTTGCCATTATATGTAAACTTTGCAGGTATTCTATCCCCTTTATCATTTCTTAATGAAAAAATAAATGCATTTGAATCATTAATGTTTTCTTCACTTGTTGAATTTTTAAATCCAACTTGAGTAAAACCTCCAAAAATAAAATTATCTTTTGTTTTGATAATAACTAATGTTTTTCCTTTCCAATCAACTTTTGAATGCCAATTTTGAGAATTAAATCCATCTTTTTTTGCTGAAAATCCTTTTTTCATTTTAGAAAAAAAATCATTATCATTTATCCATTCTTGTAATTTCTTAACATATTCAATATCTTGAACAATTTCTGAATCTGAAAATGCTTTCATTTGTTGTTCATATTCCAAATCTTTTTGATATTGATCTCGATATTTATCAAAAATAGGTTTCATATCTTCAACTTCTTTCTTCCATTTCTCTTCAATTTCTTTCTTTAAATTGTGATTTTCTTTTCTTTTCAAATTTATTTTCTTTTCTTGGTTCTTATTTTCTTGAATAACTTTGTTTTGAATATCAACTAAAAAAGATTTAGGAAGAAAAATTTGAAATTGTTTTAATTTATCAAAATCTTGTTTTGAAATTGAATCTTTATCAAATAATGAAAAAAAAGAATGAAATAATCTTTTCTTTGCATTCATTTTGTGTTCATCTTTCTTTAATTTTAATCTTTCGTTTCTTTTTTTAATCCAATTATTTAAAAATTGAAAAAAATCAAATTGAAAAATTTCTTTTTTTTCTTGTTTAAATTGAATAAATTTGATAATTTCTTCTTTAGTTAAATTGAATAAATTTTCATTATTCTGAATTTGGGAAAAATTTTGATTTATTAATTCAAAACATTTTATTTCAATTTCATTTGAATTTAAATTTCGATTTTGGAATAAAAATTGGAAAAAAATTTTAATTGAATTTGAAATTTTTTTTGAATAATTTCTTTCAATAAATTTAATTTAAAATAAATTGAAATTTTCAATAATTGAATTGATTTTGATAAGAAAAATATTTCCATAATAAATATAACTCAAAATTGATTCCATTTCTTTTTTATTAAATTGATTTAAAGAAATAGAAAGAGATTCTTGCCTTTATGACTCATTAAAAAAAGGAGATCTTGAAGATAAAATTGATTTATGAACTTTAATTTCAAAAGAATTTGATTTATTCTCAACAAAAATTGAATAATCTGTAAATGATTCATTGGATAAAATATTGGAATAATCTTGCTTTAAGTTTTTTGTTACTGATTGTTCATAATCTGTTTCTTGTTGATTTCTGTTGTTATTCATTTTCAAGTTTTTGAAAAAGGAAAAAAAATGAAAAAAAAAATTTAAAAAAAAAAATGAATAAAAAAAGTGGATTTTGAAAATAAATAAAAATATAAAAAATAAGAATAAATTTAAATTAATAATTAATTTAATTTCTTTTTTAATTTATTATTTTAAATTAATTTATTAATAAATTATTATTATTTTTTATTAATTTTTTTTATTAAAAAAAAAGGAAAATTATTTTAATTTAATTTTTAATTTAATTTTTTTTTTTTGGAATTTAAAAATTATTAATAAATTTAAATTTAAAAACAAATTTCCAAATTAATATTAATTCAATTTAATTCAAAAAAAAAGATAAAATTTTAATTTCAAAAATCAATTTTCAAAATATTTTTAAATAATAAAATATTTAAATCTAAAACAATAAATTATTATTTTAAACATGAAATTAAATATTAAATTATATTTTTAAATTAATTTATAAATTAAATATTAAATTAAATCTATTCTTATTTTTATATTTATATTTTAAATATTTAAATAATAAAATATTTAAATTTAAAACAATAAATTATTATTTTAATAATAAAATTAAATATTAAATTATATTTTTAAATTAATTTATAAATTAAATATTAAATTAAATCTATTCTTATTTTTTATATTTTTATGTTAAATATTTAAATAATAAAATATTTAAATCTAAAACATTGAATTAACATTTTAATAATAAAATTAAATATAAAATTATATTTTTAAATTAATTTATAAATTAAATATTAAATTAAATCTATTTCCATTTTTTATATTTATATGTTAAATATTTAAATAATAAAATATTTAAATCTAAAACATTAAATTATTATTTTAAACATGAAATTAAATATTAAATTATATTTTTAAATTAATTTATAAATTAAATATTAAATTAAACTTATTCTTATTTTTTATTAATTTTGATTATTAAATTTATTAATTAATAAATCAAATAAATTTGGATTTGTTTGATTTAATTGAAAATAATCAATTCCAATTTGAATTTCATCAATAATTTCTTGTGTAATTTGAATTTCATCTTTAATTTGATTTGAATAAATCCAATATTCAAATATTTGAAATGATTTATTACTTAATTCACTATAATCTGTAACTTTATTAGAAATATCATCTGTTACAGATAAAAACATTCCTCGATATAATTCACTTCTCATTATTAATATTAATTTAGGAAATTTATATTGTTTTTCTTTTCTTTCAATAATAAAATCTTTTTCATTTTCATTTTCATTTTCATTTAAATAAATTCTTTTCATTGTTTCTTCAATCTTTTCATTTGAATTTATAATTTCTTTAATTTCTGAATATAATTTTGGATTTATTATTCTGTTTGAATAAATCATTTCAAATATTTGATTTGATTCTTTAATTGATTTTTTTGAAATAATTTCTTTAAGTTTTTCAATTTGATTTTGATTTTGATTTTGATTTAATCTATATTTTAATATTAATTTATGAGCTTCAATTATTTCTCCATTTTCGGTTTTAAATGAAATATTACAAAATTCTTTTCTTCTAAATAATTTTATCAAATCTTCTTCAAGATTGGAAAAAGAAGAAGGAGAATAATAAAGAAATGAATTGTGAAATCCACAAGAAATATGATAATTGGAAATATTTTCATTAAATCTTAATTTAGGAATTTCAATTT